AGCAAGGAAGAGGAGGCGAAAGCCTCGCCGCGCGGCAGCGGTAGCAATCCGCCGCCCGCCCGGACAGGAGAGCCCGATGCCATACGCAGACATCATCCGCACCGCGCGGACTAGAGTCCTCTTAGAAGAACTGGGGATCACGGATACCCGTGATCCCCGGGACATGCGCCGGGACATCGGGGGGGGGGGGAAGGGCATCCTGGTGGAAATACCGGGTCCGGAAGGAGAGGCGAAAGCGGCCAGACTGGTGGAGGCACTGGCCCCGGTCCTGCAAGGGGTCGCTGTGGTTACCCGCCCTGTGCGGAAAGCCGAGGTCCGGCTTACCGGGCTTGATGAGTCCGTGGAGCCCGCGGATATCGCGGCTGCTCTTTCCACCGGAGAGGTTGGGACCTGTCGAGCTGAGAACGTCAGCCTGGGCCCAATAAAGAAGGGCCGCGATAAGATGGGGGTGGCTTGGCTCCGGTGCCCGGCTGAAGTAGCGGAGAAGGCCGCGGAGATGGGCCGGCTGAGGGTCAAATGGTCCTCAGCCCGTGTTACTCTTCTCCCTTCCCGGCAACTCTAGTGCTACAAATGCCTGGAGTTCGGGCACGTCCGGGCGGCTTGCCGCAACGACGTGGACCGCAGTCAGGTGTGCTACCGCTGCGGCGAGGGAGGGCACATGGCGCGCAACTGTGTGGGCAAGGCCCACTGCGTCCTGTGCGCGTCCCGGAGTTTAAACTCCGGACACAGGGCTGGAAGCAATGCGTGCCCTTCGAGGTTGAAGGGCCGCAACGGCGCAAAACAACTCCCGGTGCGGAAGACCGAGGAACCGGAGGCGATGGAGACGGACCACAATGGATTTAGTTCTGCAGATTAATCTGAACCATTGTGGTCCGGCACAGGATCTGCTTCGGCAGACAATGAGGGAGCATCAGGCGGGCCTTGCTGCGATGTCGGAGCCCTGCTGGGTCCCGGACTCGCCGTTTTAAGCCAGCGACTTGGACGGGGTGGCGGCAGTGACCTGGTCTCCCCAGGCTAGACGCACTGTCTCGGAAATACTGGATAGGGGCCACGGTTTTGTGGCTGTGCGGTGGGGGGAATTAGCGGTGTTCAGCTGCTACTTCTCCCCCAATCGCAGCAGGGCGGACCTGGAGAAGTTCTTGGATCTTCTCCGAGACAGTGTAAGGCGCGTAGGCGGCGGAGCCCATCTAGTCCTGGGGGACTTTAACGCGTGGTCTATCCAGTGAGGTTCCCGGGCGACCAACGCGAGGGGAAAGGCGGTGGAGTCCTGGGCGGCAGAGACTGGGCTCCACGTACTAATCGTGGGGTCCGAGTGGACCTGCGTCCGTCCCCAGGGTAACTCCATCGTCGACATTTCGTGGGCGTCGACCGCGGCTGTCCCACTTGTGCGCGGATGGAAGGTCTGGGAGGGAGAGAAGTCCCTCTCAGACCACAGGTATGTCGCGCTGTTTTTGCAGCGGCAACAAGGGGTTGCGGACCTCAGCGCGCCACGCTTCCCGCGCTGGAAGATGGAGGAATGCGACCCCGACCTCTTCGCAGCGGCAGTACTGGGTGCCGCGTGGGGAAACCCTGAAGAAACGGGGTGGTTTGCGGAGGAAGAGGCCGAGTGGGTCACACGCACAGCGGTGAATGCGTGCGATTTGTCAATGCCGAGGGCAGGGAAGAGTGTGCGCCGCCGGCAGATGTATTGGTAGACGGCGGAGATCGCCGCCCTCCGTAAGGAGTGCATCGCTCGCCGGCGGAGGTACACAAGGGCGCGGGTGCGGCGCACTCCGGCAGAGGCGGAGTTAGCTCGGCGCGAGTTCCGTCGGGCGCAAAGGAGCCTCCGTAGCGCCATCACCGCGGCGAAAAGATCTATGGGGCAGGCCGTACCGGATTGTCCTAAACCGGTTACGACCAGTCGGTTCAGCAGTGACCGAGTCGCTGGAAGTCGAGGTAGTCCGGGAAATAGTGGAAACGCTATTTCCACTACAAGATGAAGGGGCTCCCGAGGTACAGGGGCCTGCCCCATGGAGCCCGGAATTCGCCGTAACCGCGGAGGAGCTTCGCAGCGTGGTGCGTCGCATAGCCGGGAGGAAGAAGGCCCCCGGCATGGATGGGGTGACGTGCGCGATCTGGACGCGTGTGGCCGCGCTGGCACCGGAGCGTCTCGCGCGCTGTTACACTCGGTGCCTGCAGGAGGGATTTTTCCCGCGCGTGTGGAAGCGGGCGCGCCTGGTATTGGTCCCGAAGGCTGGCCGCCCGGGGAGCGCCCCCTCGTCGTTTAGGCCGCTGTGTCTGTTGGACGAGGCGGGTAAGCTCTTCGAGCGGATCCTGGCGACGAGGCTGGAGGCCTGTCTCAAAGACATGGGGGGGCTGTCACCCCGACAGTTCGGCTTCCGACCGGCGCTCTCCACGTGCGACGCGATTTTGCGCGTGCGGGAGATCGTCGGGGGCCACACCTCGCGGGGACGGGTATGCGTGGCGGTTAGTCTTGATATCCGGAACGCTTTTAACACGCTGTCGTGGCCTAGCATCCGGGCAGCTCTGCGGGATTGGAACATTCCGTTTTACCTGCGGACTGTCCTGGACAGCTATCTCTCGGATCGGTACGTCATGTACCCGTGCCGAGACGGGGAGGTCCGGTCCTACAAGGTCACCTGCGGGGTTCCCCAGGGTTCTGTCCTGGGGCCCCTGCTGTGGGACATAGGCTACGACGCGGTTCTGGGTATCGAGCTGCCGCCACTGTGTAGCGTCGTGTGCTACGCCGACGACACGTTGGTGCTGTCGGCGGGCAAGAACAGCAGGGAGGCTGCGCAAAGAGCCAGTGAGGCAGTCGCGAAGGTGTCGCAGCACATTGCAACACTAGAACTGACACTGGCGGCGCAGAAGACAGAGGCGTTATTGTTCCGCCCTCCGGGCATGACGGGGGGACCAGTGGAGGTAGTTGTAGGGGAGGCCCGCGTGGCGACGCAGCCCAGTGTGCGGTACCTGGGCCTTATGCTGGACGAAAAGTGGTCTTTCGGGACCCACTTTACGTACGCCGCCGAGAAAGCCCGGAGGGTGGCAGCGGCGCTTGGGAGGCTGCTCCCGAATCTCGGGGGTCCGCGCGAGCACGTGCGGAGGCTATACTCGGCCGTTGTGCACTCCGTACTTATGTACGGCGCTTCGGTGTGGCACGACGAGCTGAGGGGCCGAGCTGCAGCCCCGTTTGCCGGGGTGCAGGGCATGGTCGCCTCACGTACGGCAAGAGCGTACCGAACGGTGGCAGTGGAAGCCGTACGGGTGCTGGCCCGCGTCCCTCCGGCGGAGCTGCTAGCAAAGCAGCAAGCGGAGGTTTTCCGGAGGGTTCGGGAACTCAGAGCGCACGGGGCGCCTCCGGACGCGGAGGACGTACTCCGCTCACACGCGCGTCGGGAGCTGGTCCGTCCCTGGGGAGAGCGATTGGATCGCTCGCAATGGGGCAAGAGGGTCTTGGAGGCCGTACGGCCCATCCTGGATCAGTGGTTGGACAGGCCACATGGGGAGCTGACATTCCACCTCACAGATCCTCTCTGGGCACAGGGTGTTTGGTGATTTCCTGCATAGAATAGGAAAAGTCAACTCCCCGATTTGCGAACACTGCGGGAGTTGCATAGACTCGGCCCAGCATACGCTGGCTGCGTGTCCCAAGTGGGACTTGGAAAGGGCTACCCTCCGGGAAGCCATCGGGAATGACCTTTCCTTACCAACGGTGGTAAGGATGATGGTGGCTGACAGGGCAAAGTGGCGGGCAGTGCGGGCATACGCTGAGTCTGTAATGTCCGTCAAAGAGGACGTAGAGAGAGCTCGGCAAGGTCAGCCGGTGCAAGGAGATAGGAGCAGGAGAAGGAGAAGGAGAGGACGACAACCCTTCTCCTCCTCTGAGAGCGAGAGCTAAGGAGTATCTTGTTCCCCTCCCGGGGGTGCCTCCCTGTGCGGGGGACACATCCGGGAGAGCCGCGGGTAGGGACCGCAGGAAGGAAGGAGTTGGGGTTTCTTTCGGCCATTGCACGCGGTCTCACCGGAAGTGGTGAGGGGATGCGGTGGTCCCATCTCCTCACCGGGTAGTAATGGAAGCCGTGGCAATCAGCCACGTTTGCACGGGAAGGAGAGTCGGGAAGTAATAGCCTCTTTGGCTTTTCAGGCTCTCCCTCATAGCGTGCTTGAGGACCATAAAGGGGTTTTAGTGGGTTCGAGTCCCACACTACACTGGCCTTCCCCAAGGGGTCAAGGCGTGCGCGGGCATTTCCCTTCTTAAAAAAAAAAATGGTTATTACTACGTGTCCTTGGATTTGACCTTGACTTTGACCTTCAAGGTGATTTCAAAGTCAAATTGTTTTTTTTAATGGAACTTCATATTTTTAACACCGGAAATGGAAAGAGCAGGAAATTTTGCGTTTGGATATGACCTTCACTAACCCCTTCTTTTGATCTTGTAGTCAAGAGCAAGGTCAATAAACAGTCAGTTAAAGCAAGATAGAGAAGAAACCCAGTTGGTTACGGCAAGGTAGAAAAAGAATCCAGGCATTGCCTCTATCTATCTTGTTTATTGTTCGACCTTGTTTTTGACTACAAGGTCAAAAGAGGAGGTTAGTAAAGGTTATATCCAAACGTAAAATTTCCTGCTTTTTTTATTTCCGGCGTCAAAAATATGGAATTCTATTTAAAAAAACAATTTGACCGTGAAATGACCTTGAAGGTTAAGGTCAAGGTCAAATCCAAGGTCACGTGGTAATAGCCAGAGAAAAGTCCTACAACTTTTGTCTGAAATGTTTTTCTGTTTGACTTTTAGTTTTCGAGTTATGTTGCTGTACCGGAGCTTTTTGAACACTCTGTATATATATATATATATATATATATATATATATATATATATAAATTTATAAAACAAATAATTGTAACTCCTAAAAGAATCAATAAGTATTGAATTGAATTGAATTAAATTAATTATCTGTTACGTCTATGTCATTGATCTTAAATAATGTTAAGCATAATCAATATTATCTTTTGTAGTCCAATAGCATCTTATATTGGGGTATCTCTAGTAAAGATAATGTTTATAAAAACAAATTTAAAGAATCAGAGAATTTGATAAATGTTTAATAAAAAAACGTTTAATTATATTATTTTAAGCGTCAAATAAGAATACTTAATAAAACAACACAATACAATTCCAGTAATTTTGAAATGATAGGATCGATTTTTTATAGAATTTTAAGTTATTTTCTTATTTTTCTAATTAGCAACCTTCTTTCTTAATAGCGAGAGATGAAAAAGATATATGTTTCTTTTTTTCTTAGACTCTGTGAAGATAGAAGCATGTTCTACAAAGTGCACAATTACTCAAAAATCGGAAAATTATTAATAAAGGAAAAACTATTGATTTGCTCATAACAAAGTAGTCAAAATTAAAATGCTCGGAATTACTAAAACTCTACTGAAAAGAATTGATTTAAAAAATTGGCGATGATCTTTACGTGACCTTAGTACATTTATTCAAGATCCACTAAACTGATAGCACCATATTCTTTTTTTTACATCTAATTATAATTATTACGTGATCAAACAAGATACGTCTTTCAAAACTTATTTTTCAAAAATATGTTGTTAAAATATAAGTGTTTACCACATCTAAGTGAAAGTTGTGTAGCATATATGTAACAATTTTTAAACGGTAATTGCGTTTTTTGAAATATTCTTATCACAAATTTTTGGATAATTACCACTTTCCAAGATATTTCTTGGATGTTGCGGAAGAAATGGTTCTGTCTCGTTGTTTATCTCGGCGTCAACAATCGGACCCCATGTTTCAATATCAGACGAATGTTTAACCAGAAACTCAGCGTTCAATCGGCGTAGACATTCCATCAGTGCGCTAGTTGGTCGTCGATAACAACCGAATTTGTCGGCTATAACGTCCACGACTGGTAGTTCATTTTCTGGCAAACGTACGGAACTGATTGCATCGCCACTCATGACGATTGCTTTGTTGAATTTCCCTCTGCTATGTGGACTTAGCATGTGCAAGCCTACGCTAATAGCACCTGAACTATGACCGTAAATAATGATGTTGTTAGGCGAGCCATTAAAATATTTAATATTCCGTTTGACCCAGTCAAGAGCAGCAATTTGGTCGAACATGCCATAATTACCAGACGCCTCAGTGTCTGTCGTCGTGAAAAATCCCAGTATGTTTAATCGATACGCCACTGTCACTACCACCACTGGCTGCTGCTGTTGCTGCTGCTATTCACAAAAATTATTACTTTGTTATTTGTAGATTTGAGATTTTATAAACACTAAATAAAAAGCCCGAACAATTTCTACCAGCAAAATCTTTATTTTCTTTGGTTTGTATCAAACAATCAATTTATTATTGATGTTTTTGATATGATATTGCATTATGTATCACATGTGCTTTTACTCTAACAAAAAAGTTTTATTAAAATACAGTAATAAAACTTTCGTGGTCACTTATCAGAATTCTTATCTTAAAAAAAAGGTAAAATATCAGAAAGTTGTTATTATTTTAAAAATAATAGCACCCAATTAAAGAAGAGAAAAAATATAATCCAACTTTACTCGATTTTCTACCGTTCACAAACGTCTAGAGCACGGAATGAGCCTTATATTAAATATGCATTGCAATATGTATCATGATTGCATACGCATACAGCACAGAAACTTGTAGTTACATTGCAAGAATGTTACATTCTTGCAGATCGCGCGATAACACTTCTACAACTTATAGGGTATTAAATATTGTAATGTATAATACATATTTTGGCTGAAAATAGTAGCAAGATTGTAAAACTCTTTAAAAAAATTGCAAACCACTTTGTAAAAATTGTCACAATTATTTATGTAAAAAAATGATTTATTTACTCAAAGTTTTACACAGATTCTTTTACACGATTATGTGTGACAATGTTACAATAATTACTTATTACTTAAAATCTCAGTACTTACGACTGGCGCGATTACGACTGATTTGCTATTGAAATTTGACTGTTTAAGAGGGTACTGGATACTGACTATAGAGACTTGTAAACCGACGTTTCTTTTATGACGTTTGGTGTCGTATTTACTACATTAAATCTAAAATGCTTCTACAGAAATAAGTAAATTGTGCTAAGAATTGGCGTTTGTTCTTTAGAATGTCAAAATTCAGCATAAATTTTTTTATACAGGTTTCTTCTATAACCTCACCACATATTTATGTACGTAGAATTATTTCTAAGCTTATGTACATATTTACAATAAACAAGCGCAACAAGTACGACAAAAAAGAATCTGAGACATTCAAATTATGGTTTGACTATTTACTTGATAAGAATAATGTTATAGTGTGATGATGTATGTATATCTGATACTATATACTATCATTATGAGTGAAAAAAAGTTTAACAAAGCATTATAAACCTATTTTCAAAAACTTTATATAGTTTTTTATATTTATTTGCTTATATAAAAGCGCTTTTAATGTTGTGCAGTAAATAAAATTAGAAAATAAAGAAATTTAAGTTATAAAACGTCGATTTACAGGTTTCTATAGTCGGTATCCAGTATCCTCTTAAGCCTCGGCTCGAAACCGGTTTATATAGGTTTACTTTGGTCATGGAAAATTCCAGATTTTTTCTTATTTAGTAATGTTGTAAAGTCATCTATAATTCACAATAGACCGAGCATTTCCTGTGTCAAAGATTGCCTTATGCAATAAAGTATTTCGGAGAGTCGACAGTGGGTCATGGTTTTATCGTTAACCGTCAGATTTTATAGCACTCTAAAATAAACATTGAAAGTTTTAGAATCTACCCGTGACGACAAAACTAAGCTAGACAATAGGTCTGTTTTTCTTGCATACACTTCGTACATTTTAGTGTAAAGTGTACACTTTAGCGTTCTTCTTGCCGGAAGTGACGTTGATTCACGTCATTACACTCTGTTCTTTTTGAAAGTATATTACACTTTATACGCAATTTACACTTTCTTTACACCTCCTTGAGAGGTAGTGTAAATCTAGTATAACGTTACACTTTTTTTCTTCATGTTTTGACAGAGAGAAGCCTGAGAGGACCGGCGCAATGGTCTCGCAGCCTGAGTGCAGGAGCTGCGAACCTGGAGGTCCCGAGTTCGAATCCGCTCATCACCTAAGGATTTTTTTCGGACTGGTTCCCTTCAAGTGAGTTTATCGGTCGATTGGCGAACTAAATCGGGCCTCAAAAAGTTAATTTGGGTGTAATCCCGAATTAATTCTCTTCCCACAAGGCGATTATAGTCACAACATCCCGAATACGAGCCCGACACAGATGGGCACGCCCACAGTGAAAAAAGGCCGTATATCGCGTAGTAGTAGTATACTGCACAACCCCTCCTTGTGACGAAAACAATATATAATAATCAATTAATACTTAACCCCAGATATCTGGGATCTATTTAACTTATCAATTTTAAAAAAGACTCCTAGAATGGCGTATGGACTAACCTGAAAAAGATCCACTGAGGCAATATGCACCAATACCAATACCAGAAGCCTTAAAGGCCACGGCCATAAGAGTTTCTGCAATAGCTTTTTGCGGACATGGTTCTCTTCCGTGCTAAGTTTGTGGACATGGTTCTATTCCGTGCTATGAGAACATTGATGTGGTAAGGATACGTACACAAGCGAGAACCGTCGTCATACATCAACATAATGTGTCTGCACTCTTCCACGAGCGCACACGGACAACGGTCTCGCTTGTGTGCGTAGCCCCACTACGTCGGTGTTCTCATAGCACGTAAGAGAACCATGTCTACAAACTTAGCACAAAATAGAATCATGTCCACAAAAAGAGACTCTTATGGCCGCGACCACTCTCAGGCTTCTCTCTGGTTTTGAATGTCATTTTAGGATTCATTAGGATGTGGTTAGATGTTCATCAAGTAAGGTAATAGGTTGTATTGTTCAAATAAATAATAAATCAATAGGGCGATATTGAGCTAGTGCCGGATGTTGTGCAGAAATGAAATAGACTAATTCTATTATGAGAGACGTTTCAACTTTTTATTTTTTAAGTCCTTATCAATCTATAAATTTACAATTAAATTGGATTACAAAATTATAATTACAATATATATACAAGTTGTGATTGAATTATTACGTACCAAGTTTAAGAATATTGCCGAAAGTAATTCACATTAAGTGGTCAGTAAATAAAATGTTTGGATCTTTGTTAAACAAGTGTTGTTCGGCGTGTAGTTTGTAACAGACTGCCGATTCGAATCGCATGTGTGAGAACTCCATCTATGTATTATTTCAATTTACCTATTATCGGTAAGTATGTGTCAGATAGCAATTCAGTATCTCTCATTAAATTCAAACCGTCAATCTGTCTTTTTATATGTATCATTTCAGACGTCAATCTTTTAAAATAATTATGTTCGGTGTCTAATATCTGATTTGTTTCCCAATTAAATTTATGTGCAGTTTCTTTTGAATGTTTTGCTAGAACTGATGTTTCTGTTAATTCTTTTTTTACATAGTTGTAGTGTTCTTTTATTCGGGTAGCTAATTGTTTTGTTGTTTGTCCTACATAGCTTGATTCACATTGTTCGCAGGTTGTATTGTATTTAATTTTACATATATATATAAGATATATGTTAAAATATATGTTAAATTCATTAATATGACATTTTTTAAATATAGTATTAAATATAGTATTAAATTATATTTTAAATTAGTATAGTAAAAATTCTTTTTTTTATGTAGTAATTATAATTTTGTTACTTGCATTTTGGTAGACAGTTGCTGTTTTTATGATTTGTTTTTTCATTGCAAAGAAAACTTACTACACAAAAAAAAATAATTTTTAATACTAATTTAACATATAATTTAATACTATATTTAAAGAATTTATAATTTATATTACATTTAAAGAATGTCATATTAATAAATTTAACATATATTTTAACATATATCTTATTATCTATGTCTAAACTATCATCTTTCATAGATAAAGAAAGCTACATTACATGTCAAACTGACAGTATGTATACATTTGTAGTTTTCATATGTGTTTCATGTGTTTTATATTATTATTATACGTATTAAATTATTACTGTTATTAATTATTAATTATATGTTATTAATTATAGGTGGGCTAACTTTTAAAATACACTCAACAGAAATAGATTTTAATAGTCCACCCATCAAATGTACAATAGATACTGAAGAAAACTCCAAACAAACACCATGCACAAATGGCTGTAGTACACTTTTGTTACACTCTGGCGTTCTTCTTGAAAAGCGTACACTTTACACGATGTTTCCCCCACTCCCAAAAAGTGTAATGTATTAAAAGTGTAAAGTGTACACTTTACACTTTTTGTATATGCAAGTAAAACAAACCTAATAATGTCACAGTTGCGCATAACTTCTATTATAGTCGCGTTTAAAAGACGCAACAATCATTAACTTTTGAGAAATAAATTTATCAGATATAGAAATATACACCATACATGATTGTTATATTTATTTAAGTAATTTCGTTACCGCAGTCTTTGCGTTGAATACATCATGCATTAGCTATCATTGCCGCGCATGCGTGAAAAAACATCTCGCCTGATCACACTGATTAGATTGAATGTGCTGACAATGTTCACAGTTTTAGCTTCTTTACAGCATGCTAAAGCGGTGAGGATGCGTACAACAGTAGCGAGTTCTAATTGCATAAACTTGCTGCTGTTGTGCACATCCCTTCTACCGCTTTAGCATGCTGTGAAGAAGCCAAAACTGTAAACACTATGTGCTGGATTATTTTTATTGTGCTCGCCAGCACTTCCCCGTTTACCGTATCAAACGCTGCCCACAAAAAACGCTACCAGCTTCTCCCCTGGTTTACTTAAATTCTTATTTACTAAATAACTCATAGCATAAATAGTGTCCATTGTCCCTCTCCTCTTTCTAAAACCCGTTTGATTATTCTCTACCAAAGTTTTTCCTTCTACTTTCAGTTTTACTCTATTTGCCAATACTCTCGCATATACTTTATACAGAGTCGATGTTAATGTTACTTCTCTGTACTCTTCCACTTTATTTCTCTCTTTTTTTTTTAACACCGGCACTGTAATCCTTTTCTCTCAATCTTTTATGCAACCTTTACCCCTTCATATCCTTACACATACTTTGTATATCCATTCTTTCAAACCTATCTTTCCATATTTCTACACTATCGCAAGAATTCCATCCCTCCCACCGTCTTTCTATC